TTGTTTTTGTAAAGCGCCTCGTGATTTTTATCTTGAGAGGCGCTATAGAAATTATATTTTCTTCTTCTTCTGCCGCTGAGGGGAGGTGACCATACCGATAGTGGGAACCCAGCTCCACCAACATGTTATATTTCAACCCATTTTCTAAAGTGCAGCATTATGTTAAATGCACTGGGTTTTACCCTATTACATTTAAATTTCATGGTTAAACAGTACATGTTCAAATCTAAGCTCAGCTCGGCAGTGACCTAAAATACATAAATATAATTTTACTTACCCAAAAAAATCAAGTGGAGACTCCTTGGACGCTCTATTAGTGCAATTAATGCCACAGCAAGTCATTTTGTCCAACAATTACACAAATAATATCCAAAAAGAACGCACAAACGCTACAACTAATGGTCTAAGTTGAGAGACTGAAAATGGCGTAACAGTTTTAAGGCGAGGCCGAGGCTCTACTGAGGCCTTTTCCCGGAGCTAGCCCTGCGGTCACGTGGGTCTGACGCTCATTAATTATTCAGAATTTTAGGCATTTATGTTTATGTTTATTTATTTGGCAGACGCTTTTATCCAAAGCGACTTACAATTTATAACCTATAGGGCATGTTGATGAAACCCACGCATGCATGGGGAGAACACGCAATTCCACCCAGACAGGCCGCAGCCAAGTTTCGAACCTGCAACCTTCGTGCTGCGAGGCAACAGTGCTAACCACTGCGCCACCATTTAATACACTTAAACAGAAGAGTGAGGAAAAATTCGCCCCCCTCAGAGTTGTCATGAGTGTAAACTAGATCATTTAAACCAAAAACATGTTCTGGTACCAGGCTGTAAACATGTTTATTTCTGCTGTGAAATTGGTATTTTTAACATGGGAGTCAATGAGGATTTGCTCGCTTCTGACACCAGCCCCTAGTGGATGAGGGGGGAACTGCAATTTTTGTCACTTCCGTGTTGGCTTCATTTCCAGACCCGAATTATGGGGGCTTGAGTCAAACTCATGAGTGGCCATCGTAGCTGCAATACTTTTTCTGACCTGCATGGCGCTAAAGAGTCGCATTTTTATCATGATTTCAGTGGATTTCAAACATGGGGCCTTTAAACTGTAACATAAGTTTCAGTGGGAGCACGGGCAGAATATCTTGCCCTCCAGTCAGAACCCAAAAACACCAGTAGGCAACGACTTATAAAAAGACATCCTTTATTAACACAATCAACAATAAAACACTACGGCCAAATTCCCTCATGATAAAACCAGCTGTCCAGCACAGACAAAAGCAAGCAGCGGTACTTAGCTGTCCCAGTTGATGCGACCCCCTCCCCGGGGTCTGAGCTTCCGACACCGTCCAACGCCCTGGGGTGCAGCTTGCGAGGACGGCGGGTACATCCACAACTTAGGTCCGGCTGCCAGAGTCTGTGGTGGCAGATGTCGGCGTGGTCTCGGCACTCAACTACTCCCAGCCCTCGCTGCCTAAAGAAGGCGTCAAGCCTTCCCTCCTAGCGCTGGAACACTGCCCACCTGCTCAACTATCTTCGTCACCGGCAGTCCTAAACGACTGCGAACGACCCCACCCCCCAGAATCCGGTGCCGCAATGACAGGTCGACCACACACACACCACCTTGGTAGATCTGCCACCCTTTTGTCCTCTCCGGCCTCATTACCCGTAACAAGGACCAGCCGGCGTCCAATCACCACGCCCTCAGAATCCGGCAACTCCCGTCCTCTGTCCTTCACAAATCGTTACCAGTCTCCTCTGCATGGTCAGTGTCTCTCTCCTTCTCCGGCATGATCTATTCATAGATAAGCGCTTACAATTACGTTTCACTGCTTAATCTTATGGCCGTGCAAGGATGTGTGTGCAAATGCGTGTTTAAATGTGTGTGTGTGTGTGTGTGTGTGTGTGTGTGTGTGTGTGTTAGTGGTGTGCATCTCTACCTGCCTCACGATTCGATCCGATTCCGATTATCTGCCTAAAGATTCGATTTGAGTCTGAAATGCATCACGATTCTTCACACAAACATTTCATTACTTAATAAAAGCAGTAGAATAGTTTTCAATTTCTTTTTGATTTAGAAATCCCTGAAAAACAGAACATTCATCTATTCACTATAGTGAGCAATAATGTTTAAAGTGTGCTGCCTATAATTACTTAAATAATATAAGAAATAATGTTTTCGGTAGAGCAGCTTTAAGATAGAATATTACTGAACTTAAACATAGTAAACAAATACTGTGTTAAGTGATTCTTTCACATCCAGGATCCCAAAACCGAAATTAGCCCAGACATCCGATTTAAATGTAACGGGTACATCTTTGATTACTGGTAATGTTGGCCCTGTATCCCTGTCCAATTGCTTCTAGGACAACGCAGTGCGCATGTCATTGCAACTCTGCCCCCAGAAGTAATACCTCAAAACTTTATTGTCCTGCATAGACATAGACCAGGGGTCGGCAACCTGTTCCCATCAAAGAGCCATTAGTACCCGTTTCCCACAGTAAAGAAAACACTGCATCAGCCGCGGCGTTGTGGGCGGGGCCTACCCTCAGACAGCAGCCGGTACGGTCGCTCGTGTACGTCAAAGCTATCTTTCATAAGAAGATAATCAATAAAACGATTTATATAAAGTGGATCCAGAAGTTGTAGCCCGTCTCTGCCGACAATATTTAGATATTTTTCACCCTGTTGGTGGTTTTACTGAGCAGGTGCCACTTTTGTCATACGTTTCTTTTTAAAACATGTTTAGACTGTTCAGAATACAAATCCAGGCTCTGTCACGTTTGATTGTTGTAATTAAACTTTGTAGGTGGGGAAGGTCAGAAAAGGATCCGATCATTTTGTTTTTCCCTCATTTACTGTGACGGAGATAACGGCGCAGTGCGCCTGGCTCTGGTGGTAATCACGTTTAATTTTATCTATTTTCACAAGAAAACAAAACAGTTTAAAGCAGGCCTTGTGTTGACCGGACAGTTCCTGTTTTTGACTATTTATTTTGACGGAGAAAGAATAGAAAGAATTACTCTGACGCATGCAGACGAACTGACATTTTATTCTACGCACATCGCAGATGTAGCTAAATCACTCAAGAAAAGATTCCCATCTGAACATCTGAGCTGGACACTGCTCAGCGCAGCTCACTGTCAGCGCGTACGTATGGCGCACAGTGAGCTGAAGATGTGGAGAGGGGCTTGGAGCGCGCCGCAGAACCAGAGCGCATGCGGGAAGGTTCCTCCGACTGAAGCGAGTGTTTTCCAAACCCGGTCTCTCAGAGAGACTTGTCACTAAGAAAATGTTCCCTGATGATGAAACTTTGGCTGAATAGCGCTTGTTCCTGTCTCCAATGTGGCGACACATCCAGGAGCCGTCTGAGGAGAAGCCCAGAATCTCACATCCTCTTCAGCTCAGAAAGCGTCTATGATTACGCACAAGCGTGACGCGTCAACCCGGTCTCACAGTAAGACCGGGTTGGACCTGTTCAGGTTTACACAGACAATCTTTACATTTAGAATTAGCATACAGATGTAACATTAATGCAGTAAAATATAAAGCATTTTATTTAAATATCCATTCATTATTTTACAAGCACAGAGAGCCGCATCAGATGGATGGAAGAGCCGCATGCGGCTCCAGAGCCGCGGTTGCCGACCCCCGACATAGACATAGGGAGAGAATCTCATTAAGTCACGTTGCTGCATCGATGCGGAATCATGCACGGCTGAATCGCGATGCATCTTAGAGTCGATCATTTTTCCCACCTCTAGTGTGTGTGTGTGTGTGTGTGTGTGTGTGTGTGTGTTTGACTGCATTGGTTTCTGTTTTATGTGTATATTTTATGTATGTATACACCATTAGCTGTTAAAGTGTGTATATATTTTATAAATAATTGCTTTATTTAGTCTCTTTTACAGTTAAGCACATTGAGTTGTTACCATGCAGGAAATGCGCTCTATAATTAAAGTCATTCATTCATTCATACATTAATTCATGAGATCCCACACACACTCGCAGGTCAGAGTACTGCTGAGATCCCAACAGCGAGCGGTGGGGGATCAGAGGAGCCAGGGCCTGCGCCAGTGGCAGACACACTGGTGGTGGCTAAACATCGTTTTTTTGCCTCCACCTTCAGATCGGACCATTTTGTTTATAACCACCACAGATCTCTCTGAAGAATTCACAACATTGACGGCTTCAGCAACACTGTGCTACTCTGATCATTTTCTCTTATTTGTTTTGCAAAAGCACTTCCTTTCATTTCTCCACCTCACCCACATGTACCTCAACTTCTGCTTCTGTGAAATTGCGCTTCCTTGAGCCGCGGTCGCGATCTTAAGGCTGCAACAAGCCGGCTTATATGTATAAGCATGAGATCCACAAGGCACTTTGCATTGACCGTTTATGGCAGTAAGTGGGCGTGGTGAGGGCGGGATGTGACTAAAATGCAGCTGAGAAACATTCTCGTTAGTCTCTGATTTATGAAGCGGAGATCGCGTGCAGCTGTGCGTCCTCCATGTTTGATAGATCACACACCTGCTTGGCATGAGTACATTTTTTTGCTGAGCTCAAGTACGGTTTTAGTAAGGATTCTACGCCATGTTTGATAAATGAGACTCCTAAACTGTATTGGAATGTTTACTGTGTGAAGGTCCTTGAGACGACTCTTGTCGGGATTTGGCGCTAGAGAAATAAACTTGAATTGAATTGAAGTTCTGTCGGAAGTGGGAGTTTAAGCTCCTTCTGACAGGAGACTCTGCCAGACGTTCCCAGCAGACCCTCACAATATGTTTAGGCTTGCCAGGTCTGATTGGCTTCCTCCCCCACCATCAGAGCCAACTCACCACCAGGTAGTGGTCAGTTGACAGCTCCGCCCCTCTCTTTACCTGAGTGTCACACAGTCAGGACCTATCCTCCCACACATAGGAGGGGGGAGGCTACCCACTCGTTCAGTGGGGTAAACCAAGATGGTAAATAAAATTGACATGAATTGTGGTGTTTTGTTTCAGATGAAACCCTGACAACTGAGGTGGAGTCATGGACTACAGGGGAGCAGCTGGCCTCCTGGCTTCTTCATTACAGGTAATTATCCAGTTCTGAACTCACCTCCACTCTCTGTTGCTTTGCCTGTTGATGTCACCACTCCATGTGATGGTTGATGTGCCACAGAGGTTTTTCAGAAGCAGTACAGGGCTGGTCTGTGTCTTTGGTTACTGATGAAGGCTGGTCAGACTTGACTGGTTCAGACTTTGTCATGGATCTACTGGCTGGAGCAGAGGCTGAAGTTCTGCCACCACCAGGGACACCTTCCTCCACAAACACTGACTACTTGTTTAGCTCACATGGGGAGAGGTCAGTGAAAATGTGACCAATGAAGCTAAATCCTTCCACTGACATGGCTCCCACTGTAGACATCCCTGTGCCTCTTTCTTTCAAGGATGCCAGTTACAGACCTGGATGACTTTATCCCACCTGCACCTCACATGCAGGCACCTGGGCTGCCTGCTTTTGATGGAAACCGCTGGGAAAGCGGTTTTCCACAAGAAGGTGAGTGTTACCAATTATTTCCAAAGATTTCAGGTTGGTCATTTTCATGATGTCTCCTCAGCAGTTACTTATGGTGTACCACAGGGTTCTATTCTAGGTCCGATATTTACATGCTTCTTTTTGGAAACATAATTGGGGATTTATTTTCTAGTTACACTCAGCTCAGTTTATCATATAATAAATCCTTTTAAAAAGCAGCTAACATTTTTATAGTGCTTGAGAACCACCCCGTGATTTTCTTGAAAGCTGCTACACAAAAACATTTCTTCTTCTGCATTTTGGACACATGAAGGGTGAAAGCTGTAGAGCTGTCAGCTGTGTACCGCCTAGTGGTGAGTTGGATCTGGTACACCCAGTTGAGTTGAAAGCACAAGTCCGCTGCCCTTAAATTCTTCCAAATCACAAACCTGGATTGCCTCCAAATATCTGACGATGGAGATTATCTAGGGGGCCATTATGGATAAGCTGCTACCTGTTGCTAAGGACTCTGATTTGAACTTGGGGGTCAAGGTTGACCTGACCTGAAATTTAACAAGCAGACAAATACTGTGGTAAAACCATGCTTCTTGGAAAGATGTATTCATACTTTCTTCACCTCAAGGTTATATTATTGCAATAGTCTATCTATTGGGGTGAGTCAGAGTTGTCTTACTCAGTTACGGCACGCCTGTTGACCACATATCTCAGTGTTGGCCTCTCGTCACTGGATTCCCGTTTTGTTTAGAGTTCATTTTAAAATTCTTGTCTTAACATACAAAGTGTTGAATGGCCGGGAACCACCTAACCTATCCAGTATCATCAGTCCTTTTAACACACCATGGCTTCTCAGGTCAGATGACTGGCTGCTACTGGTGGCGCCAATGGCGAGATTGTAGCTCAGAGGAGATGGTGCTTTTGCAGTGGTTGCACCTAGACTTTGGAACCTAATGCCTGTTGGTATTAGGTAGGCCTCCTCAGTTCCAATGTTTGTCTTGTCTGTTTTCTCTCTGCCATTTGAGTCTGCCTGACTGACTCACAACTGTGATGCAAAGGACTCAAAATCCCTGATGAAGGAGACATCGCCGATCCATGACCCCGGGATCCATTGGAGATATTTGGGGCCTAACCCTAACCCTAACCCTACCCCTCCCAGTCAACCAGGTACCCCGACCCTGGGGACGAACATCCAGGATCCTCTGAACCCGGTAACCGAGACCGCCATCGGAGAGGTGAACTGGAGGAGGAGGATCCGCAGGGGGACACAGGGGACTGGACACAACGGGCTTGAGCAGGGACATGTGGAACACGGGGTGGATCTTCATGGACGCTGGTAGGGACAGACGGACAGACACTGGACTGAGGACCTCAGTGATGGTGTAGGGACCAATATACCGGGGAGAGAGCTTCCTGTTGGAATTCCTAAGGTTAATGTCTCAGGTGGACAACCATACCTGCTGACCAGGAGCATCGGCGGGAGCAGGGCATCTACGTTTATCAGCCAGGTGGCGGTTGTGGTCAGCAGTCCGCTGAAGGGCAGCCCGGGTCTGGTTCCAGGTGCGCCGAGCGTGGCGGATGAACTGAGGTGTGGATGCTGGAGGGTCAGAGTCAGAGGGAAATAGAGGTGGTTTATAACCAAGGGAAATCTTAAATGGTGACTGACCTGTAGCAGAGGAAACATGGGAGTTGTGGGCGTATTTGATCCATGCGAGCTGGCTGCTCCATCCAGAGGGATTGGAAGAGCAGACACATCTTAACATGGCCTCCAACTCTTGGTTCATCCGCTCACACTGGCCGTTAGTCTGAGGGTGGAAACCTGAACTCAGGGCGACCCGGGCTCCCAGATGGGTGGCAAACTCCTTCCACACCCGAGAGACAAACTGTGGGCCACAGTCCGAAAGGATCTCAGAGGGGATCCCGTGTAGGCGGAAAACATGTTTGATAAGCAAGTTGGCAGTTTCAGCGGAGGTAGGAAGGTGTTTAAGGGGAACCAGGTGGCAAGACTTGGAAAAGCGGTCAACAATGGTGAGGATAGAATTGAAACCCTGGAAGACAGGCAAACCTGTGACAAAGTCCAGAGCCAGATGAGACCAGGGGCGTGACGGAACCGGTAGGGGACAGAGGAGACCACAAGGCGGCTGATTGGTTGTCTTACTCCTGGCACAGACCTGACAAGCGCTAATGTACTCCTTAACGTCTTTGTAGAGCAACGGCCACCAGAACGTTCTCCGTCTGAGGGCTAGCGTCCTTCCTACGCCTGGGTGGATGGAAAACTTGGAGGCGTGAGCCCATTTAATCAGGGAGCTGCAAACAGAGGCTGGAACATAGGTGCGGTTAGGAGGCCCCGTACCTGGGTCTGGGTCAGTCTGCTGGGCCTCCAGCACCTTGGTGGTAATGTCCCAGGTGATGGTGCCAACAACGCAAGAGGGGAAAGGATGGTGGTGGGGTCAACCTCCTTGTATTGTCGGGACAGAGCATCAGGTTTAGTGTTCTTGGTTCTGGGTCGGAAAGAGATAACAAAGTTGAAGCGGGAGAAGAACAGGGACCATCGGGACTGGCGAGGATTGAGTCTCTTGGCCTCCTTTAGATACGCCAAGTTTTTATGATCAGTCCATATTATGATGGGATGCTCCGCCCCCTCGAGCCAATGACGCCACTCCTCCAAGGCCAACTTTATGGCCAGTAACTCGCGATCTCCCACATCATAATTTTGTTCAGCTGCGGAGAAGCGACGGGAGAAAAAGGCACAGGGATGCAGTGTCTTATCAGAGGGGAAGAATTGGGACAATACTGCACCTGCACCTGTATCCGAAGCATCCACTTCCAGAGTGAATTGTGCATTGAGGTCAGGTCTGGTGAGGACGGGTGCCTGGGTGAAGCTGTCCTTCAGGGTCTGGAAAGCGTTTTCAGCCTCTGGTGTCCATAAGAAAGGTCTGTTAATGGAGGTGAGTTGGGTGAGAGGGGTGGCAATGGAGCTGTAGCCACGGATGAACCGGCGGTAGAAATTGGCGAAACCCAGGAACCATTGTAGCTGTTTCCTAGTAGTGGGCGTGGGCCACTCCTTTACTGCGCTGACCTTGTCTGGGTCGGCCTTCAGTCCCCCCCTCTCCAGAATGAAATCGAGGAACTTCACTGAGGTGGAATGAAACTCACATTTCTCAGCTTTGACGTACAGACGGTTCTCCGGAAGTCTCTGGAGTACCGCACTGACGTGGTGCCGGTGTTCGGTGATGACAAATGGGTAAAACAAGGGATAGAGTGAACCAATGAAAACAGGGAAATAAAATCAACATACAAGAGGGCCAAATTCAAAAACATTCAGGAAACGCCAAGTGGAGAAGGTGGGTTTTTAGGCGACTCTTAAAGACTGGCAGAGATGGGGACGGCCTAACTGAGGGTGGCAACTGGTTCCAGAGTGACGATGCTAGGACTGAGAAAGCCCGGTCCCCGCGAGTACAACACGAGGGACAGCGAGCAGGAGCGCAGAGCGCGTGATGGGGAAAGCCTGTTCAGGAGTGTGGCTAGATAGGGGGGACCACCATGCTGGATGAAATTATAAACAAAGACGAGGAGTTTGAAGTGTGAACGATAATTGACCGGAAGCCATTGCAGGGAGGCCAGAACCGAACTGGTTCATCGACATATAAATATTGGACAATAGGTTTCCATAGCTCCAATAACACATTTTTGAAGAAAAATGGGAGGTGGCCACCACCGCCATTTTGACCGTGTCACAGGTTCCGTCAAGTCCAGACAATTCCACAAAGGGAAGAGAGGTGGAGCTGAGGGTGTGGCTGTAAGGCTGGGATCAACTGACAACACCTGGTCGAACTAGCTACAAGCTAACCTGAAGCTAACCCAAAGCTAACGCAGAGGTGGGAGCTAAGCTAACGGATGTAGCAACCTAGCTACAACCAGAGTTAACTGTGCACAACACCAGAGCTTCTGAGTCAGAGATATGCCGGGCTGACCGCTGGGTAAAACCGGGTGGAACACAGAGGTCTCCCGAGAGCTCCACAAGCCGATAGTCTGAACCCAGCTCCACCAACATGTTATATTTCAACCCATTTTCTAAAGTGCAGCATTATGTTAAATGCACTGGGTTTTACCCTACTACATTTAAATTTCATGGTTAAACAGTACATGTTAAAATCTAAGCTCAGCTCGGCAGTGACCTAAAATACATAAATATAATTTTACTTACCGAAAAAATGAAGTGGAGACTCCTTGGATGCTCTATTAGTGCAATTAATGCCACAGCAAGTCATTTTGTCCAACAATTGCACAAAAATATCCAAACAAGAATACACACACACAGAGACTCAAAATCCCGGAGCAGTTTCCAGGCCAGACCGAGGCTCTACTGAGGCCTTTCCCCGGAGCTAGCTCTGTGGTCACGTGGGTCTGATGCTCATTAATTATACAGAATTTTAGGCTTTTAATACACTTAAACAGAAGAGTGAGAAAAACATTCACCCCCCTCAGAGTTGTCATGAGTGTAAACTAGATCATTTAAACCAAAAACATGTTCTGGTACCAGGCTGTAAACATGTTTATTTCTGCTGTGAAATTGGTATTTTTAACATGGGAGTCCATGAGGATTTGCTCGCTTCTGACACCAGCCCCTAGTGGATGAGGGTGGAACTGCAATTTATTTCATTTCCGCATTTGCTACAAATTTTCACCCGCATTTTGTGGGCTTGTTTGGCATTTAAACGGCCTGCGACACAGGTCTCAGGTTAGAATCTGTGACGTATTCTGTATGGCATTGTGAGAATTGAATACATGAGCCTGTTAGATTCTTTATAGGTGAGACCAGTCTGGAAGGCCTTGGGCTTCATGTTTCTGCTAAGCTCTTGTTTAAATGCACTGTAAAAAATAAAGTGTGTTTTTTCATCTGCAGGACGTGGGCGGCAGATCGATGCCTTCGTTGATGACTTGTTTGACCCTGTTCTGGACCACGGAGCCACAGTCAGTACCAGTACCAGTCCAAGTTAGACTTGTGTAACTTTTCTGTCAGGTGAACGAGACTCTCGTCTCAGGTGGATGGCGGCTGACTCAAACCTTTGTGGTTTCTGCCAATAACAGTTGTCTAGGATGTGGTTACTCTGCATGTCATGTTAGTCATTCGTGTGTGTGTGTGTGTGTGTGTGTGTGTGTGTGTGTGTCATGTATAGGACATGGAGAGAGTGGCCATGCTAAACCGAAGGATGAGGGGAGGAGGTGGAGTTGGACCAATGTTTGGAGCTGGTAATGAGACTTGTTCTTCTCCACCCTTCCCTACACACCTGAGTCCCTCAGTAACGGGCCTTTGCAAGGTGAACTCTAGATCATGAGTTCCTAGTTCACAACTGCTCGTTTAAAACTGTGGACTGTTACTCAGAGAACTAAAACAGTCCATAAAGTACACTAAGCTGTAGTAGAAGATCTGTGAAGCCCACGGTAGAGAGTCGTAGTGTTGAGAGGTGGAAATGAGCTGGTTTTGATCAAGGTCTTACCTTCCTAGAGCTAACCACTTGTTGTTTGTGCCAGTCATCACTCTCTTCAGTCACATAGGCAGTAGAGCTTCTGTCAGAGGGAAGCTGCTAAGGTGAAATAATGAAGTGAAGTGGATCCTGCTTTGTTTTTCAGGTATGCCTACGACAATGCCAACCTACCCAATGGGTAAGTCGGGACAGCAGATGAAGTTTTAACAACACGTCTGGGATAGCAGATCTAGTTTTAGGGGCAGAAGTAGCCCGTTAGGCTCTACTGACCCTTTCTGCCCTGCAGGAGGGTTCTCATGTATTCATGCATGTCATGCTAGCAGTAATCATTTTATAGGTGTGGTCTGGCTGTAAAGTGAACTAAAGTCTTGGTTGCCATGTGTTGTGTAGGAGCACCAATCAGCCCTCAAATGCTCAGCTATGGTGCAGCTCCCCTGATGCCGACCATGCCAGGTAACCCCTCCCACCAAAGTCTCACCGGTTTCCACAGTGTTGGGAAAGTTCAGTTTCCATAGGAACTCGCTCAAAGTTCAGTTCACACATTTTAAAACCCACTATTTCCGTTTTTGGTTCATAATTAACTCTTGTTTTAGTTCACAGTTAGTCAGTCCTCCCTGGTACCAGGGGTTGTATCAACTAGTCGACTAGTCGACTTCACCGCTCTGTAGTGACTTTTAATGCCTTTCATAGACTAGTTGCTGTCACGTGATAATGAGCGACAAGATGCAGTCCTCGGAAAAGACAGCAAGTAACGAGCCCCGGCGCGTCGGGGAGGCAACGCGCTGTGCCAGAGCGTCGGTACTGACACCCGCCGTAAAACGGACATTTAACCAAATTGTGACCTTTACCCTCTTGCAATTTAACCTTCCCCTCACCCCCATCCTAACCTTAACCAGCGTGCGCATGAAAAGCTCTGATTGTTGACGCGCTCCAGACATCTGCGTCCTGAGCACGGCCACAGTAACATTATCAAATCAGGTGTCGCCACCTCAAAAACTAATTTAACACGCGATCGTTCATGTCGCCTCATTTCCTTTTATGTTTTCTGTCTTTTATTGACTTATTTGTGCCTGATGCGTTTCACTGCTGTGGAGCGGGGCGCATCACCTGTTTTGTCCTCCGGTGATTTCACCTAACTGATGCGGCCGGCGCGCGCTCCGCTGTTTTAGCGGTCGGTAGATCTTTTAGAACTGCAGTTCAAAGGTAACTCATGAGGTGAATATATATGAACCCAGGTAGCAGTTTCTCTTTAGGATTGAGAGGAGATGCAGGAAGATAATAAACAGGCAGGACAGAAAAATAGTCAAATAAAAACAAGTTAGTTTTTGTACCTGCTGGTTGTAACAAACAGACACCATTGAAGGTAATCAGAAGTGAGGAACAGAAAATGAAATAATTATTTTAATGTTTAGAGCAGCAGGAACTCCGAGAGGCTGCAGGTGCATCAGTGAGTTTGGGGCCGCTGCGCAGGGGGAGGGGGGAGAGGGCTGAAGCAGGGGGAGGGGGGAGAGGGCTGAAGCAGGGGGAGGGGGGAGAGGGCTGAAGCAGGGGGAGGGGGGAGAGGGCTGAAGCAGGGGGAGGGGGGAGGGGGCTGAAGCAGAAACTACCGTTGTTAAAAGAAATGTGTTTAACTTTGAAAATTTGGGCGCAATTTTAATTGTTGCTTCAGGTGTGTGACGTCATCAACGACTAGTCGAAGTTTACTCGATTTTCATTACTTGACGGTCGACTTTAAATAAATTAAGCCATGCAACCCCTACTTGGTATCCAGCTGCAGCTCTGACCTCCACTGTACATTCTCACTACCATGAGGACACGCCTGCTGCTTGACTTTAAATGAAGAACAGTGTTGGGAACGTTACTTTAAAAAAGTAATTAGTTATAGTTACTGATTACTTTGTCAAAAAAGTAACTCAGTTACTAACCGAGTTACAAGATCATAAAAGTAACTAATTACCAACAAAAGTAACTGCTTAGTTACTTTTTTCATTAAAGAATGCAAGAATTACTACAATAGTAAAATATAAATGACTAATGACTGGAACATAATAAAATGTATGTCCAAATGTTTTTATAAACCTGAATAATTTAAATAAATAAGCACTTAACACGAGGAACTACTAATTGGAACATTACACTAATCTAGACTATTAAAAGGTCACTGTGTGATATTTAACAAGACCCCAATCAGCTAACATTTAAAATTGCAAATAGAAACACCTGTAAAGGTTCCTGAGCCTTTAAACGGTCTCTCAGTCTAGTTAGATTACAGAAATAAATGTAATTTTGCACAGCATTTTAATTTTTCCAGCTTCACATAATTGTGTGTTTTTAGCAGCATTTCTGTTGCTGCTAATCTAGTAACGGTTAAATAAATAAATAAAAGCCTTTAAAATGACACTAGATGAGGCACAAGCCTGATGGAGGACTTACATTTACTAACTTGGGTCAGACCCAACCACAGAAGAGCTGAAGCTGGGTGGTGAACACACACAGGTAGTTCTGATAACACCTGAGCTCCATGACGTCTGAGACTGATGCATCAGTGTTACAGCGGGACTAAAGACATGATCAGAAACAGGTTACAGCTGGATGATCTAGGAAGGTGGAAGATCAGGACGTCTGAGCGGTGAACAGGTGAGCGGACCTTCGGGACGTCCCGCTGTCACGCTAAGAAGGTCACGGCTGCAGACCCGCAGATTCGCTGCTGCACGCATTTTCTTTCAGTAACAGAAACGACGTTTTGATAAAAGAAGACGTAATTAATTAGTTTGCTCGTTACAGAAAGAAATATTTTTTATTAACGCGGTTATTTTAAACAGAGTTATTCCCGTTGTGTCTACAGCAGTTAGTGACTGAGACCGTGAGGGTCTCCGCCCACCCGGCCAATCATCATGGTGTTTGTAAGTGCGTTACCGACACCTCTCTCTCCCTGGCTGCAGCTGAAGTGTGGCGGTCAGAAATCCTCACGCAGCTGCTCAACGTTCGACAAGCACATAGTAACGCACAACGTTCCGTCCCCAGTAACGGTAACGGCGTTGCAACGGCGGGAAAAGTAATTAATTAGATTATTCCGTTACCTATAAAAGAACGCCGTTAGAAACGCCGTTATACTTAAACGGCGTTACTCCCAACACTGATGAAGAAACATTAAACAATCTGAGGAATGACTTATGGATGTACGGTACTGTGCTGAGAACAGTTCTGTAGACACAGAGTAAATCATTCATTTTCATCATCAGCAAAAAGCAGCGGATAAACAAAAGATAAACCTAAATCAGACCCCCTCGACTGAAGGCTTCAGCCGGGGGGGGGGTGCATCCGACCTTCTGCCTTCGTGTCATTCATCAGAATGTCACCCGACATCACCCGACGGCAGAAAGTCGGCCACTTACCAAAGATCTTCTGTAGATGTAGGCTTCCTAAAATCATTTTGTCCTCATGTACCGGTCTTTCTACCAATTCTGCCTTTTCCGGGATCCACTGATTTCCCTTTTTCTTATTCATTTTCCCTTTCCCTTTCCTTACAGTGTTTATTCGAACTTTCCATACCTTAGCCTGTGTGATTTTATGTTAGGTGGTTAGCGGTCGGTAATATTTAAACAGCAGTACACCCTGTTCCTACACAGCCATGATGATGCCTCAGACTTCTGCTGTCAGTGACCCCATGCAGATGGCAGCAACACAGCAGGCTCTCATCAACCAGCAGGCCTTACTCATGGTGAGAGCCATCGGAGTGTTTGAAATGTTTTTACTAACCCTACCACTGGAGTTTCTTCTCCTGAGTAAGACGTTTCCCTGCTGTTGCCTCAGGCCCAGCAGATGACTCTTCAGGCGATGACCCTGTCGCAGCAGCAGACCCAGGAGCAGCAGAAGAAACAGCAGGAGAAAGGTGTGGAGGAAACAAGACAAAGGAGACATCGATCAACACAACGTTCTGTGGAGCACAGTCGCTCGCCGTCCCCTCAAACTACGTCACGCCCCCCTGTGGGACACAAAGTGCCCGCACCTAAAGCTTCCAAACAGTCTGAATCAGAGGTAAGTGTGTCAGCTTTCTCTCTTCCATTCCAGCTCAGTGGCCTAGTGGTAGAAGGTCCACTCTGGGACTGGGCTGCATGGTGGTGCAGTGGTTAGCACTGTTGCCTCGCAGCAAGAAGGTTGCAGGTTCAAAACTTGGCTGTGGCCTTTCTGCGTGGAGGTGCGTGTTCTCCCCATGCATGCGTGGGTTTCCTCCGGGTACTCCGGTTTCCCCCACACATCACAACACGCCCTGTAGGTTATAAACTGTAAGTCGCTTTGGATAAAAGTGTCTGCTAAATAAATAAACATAAACATAGAACAGAGTTCAAATCCCGGCCAAGTCATGCCAGAGACTTTTTAAAAATGGGACCCAATGTCTCCCTGCTTGACACTCCTTCCAGAAGCAGCTCTTGCTGTGAGGCCTTTTTTCCAACTTAAGAAATGACATAAGAGACTGAAACCAAAAGGAAATGGAAGGAGGCTCGGGAGATTTCCATTGGAGTAGTTTACAGCGCCTGGCCGAAAGCGATGCAAAGGCCAATATTTTAAACCGAGTGGGATTTGTCAACCGCGAGCCCAAAAAAGGCTAGGAAGGTGTTCATGCAAACCTGCGTCTAGCATCGGCGTCAACCCGAAGAGGAATAGCACTGCCCAAAGAGAAAGCTAGGCGAGTTCAAACGGCTGTCACATATTTCTTGGTCATCCCACTAAGCGTGTTGTTGACCATAGCTAGAGAGACAAGATATGGAGGAATCCTCCCCATGAGGAGGGTGTCTATAGAAGCGCTAACATCCCAACCTAACATGACATTTAACAGCTTCAATTTTGATGGCATTGACAGCTGAGAAGCCCAAGTTAGAGACTGAATCAATTGCACCGTGAATGGAAAAGGTAAGGCTCAGGTAAGAAGCGTCTCTCCCTACGGCTGGTACCAGAGAGCTCCGAACTGGTAACAGGGAATTTCTGCAGCTGGAGGAACGTGAGTGATGTCTGCTTCAGAGTGCCGACTCATAGTGCGAGTCCAGTTGATACCACTTTCAGAAAGCGCACCGACGGAACTCAGCAGTTTCCGAGCATAAGCCATCTCAGGGTCAGATTTGACAAACACCTTCTGGGTGATCGGACGGTAGTTCATCATCAACAGTCCTGGGTGTTCCTTAAGGACAATCCTTTACGAGGGCTCGGGGTCATGCATGTAAAGAAGGCTTAGCCATGTCAGATATTGTGAAGATACATGTGACCAGCATCAGAAATTTTGTCAGTCCAGAAACCAAGAATCGATCGTTGAAGACTGAAGACTGGTGCGGGAGCGGACTTGTCTCTTTGACTATGGTCCACAACACGCTTAGTGGGATGACCAAGAAATATGTGACAGCTGTTTAAACTCACCTATCTTTCTCTTTGGGCAGTGCTAGGAGGGCTCCGCGCTGGGATGGACTCCAAAAGGCTTGGTTGGTGTATGAGTGCAGCCAGAAAGAACTGGGTCAGCCTGTAAAGATGCAAGGTCAGGGTGACCTTTAAAACCTCAGGGTGTCATGGGGCGCACCGCTGGGGCAGGTTCAACTGATGGTGGACTCTACAGGTTGGGTGGGTTGTCCAGTAATCGGAAGATTGCTGGTTCGATCCTGGCTCCAGAAAGCTCATCACCATCAGTGTGTGAATGTGTGTGTGTGAATAGGTGAATGATACACTGTAGCGTAAAGCACTTTGGAGTCCTTTCTCTGAGAGGCGCTATACAAGTGCGGGTCATTTATCATTTATTTATCTTCTTTACGGGTATCGAGTGCAGGAGTCGTAGGTGCAGGAGGACGTGCGCTCTGGTCTGTAGAATAGATGAGTAGAACCTCCTTGGCTTTTGGTGAAGCGCTCACCAAGTCACAAAGGACAAATCTCAAAAAGGAGCGCAGGTCATCAGGGGACACGCTACCGGACCAGCTCTTGAACTTGGAGGAGCAGGGCTGTTGCCAGCACAGTCGTGACGTGGTGAATAATAGTCAGGGCGAGGGCAGCGGTCACCTGAGCGGGACGACCTCCTCCTGGAGGAGTACTGAGAAATCCCCCCACTTCCTGAGCGATCGGAAGTCTACTCCCTCTTTTGAAAGGAAACTTGGTGTTGTCCACGCCCAGGACGTGGAGACTTTTGGTTCCTATCACCTGACAGTGGGGGACTTAGATGGCTTATTAGATTTCTGCGAGTTTGCCCCAGGCTAAGAGTGTTGGGTCAGATGGTTGTTACCATTGTGGGCTGCAGGCCCAGGTGTCCCTTCAAGTCGCAGCGTGGAGGAAGCAGCTTCCAAGGCCAGAACAGAAGTGGGGTTGGAGGACCTACCAGTGGATGTTTTGGCCCTCCTGAATACATTACCTGCCACTTGTCTGAGATCTTTCATAGAAGTGGATTTAATGTTTACAATACCCATAGGACGACTTTAGGATGAAGTTCTTTAAAGTCGTTGTCTTTCTCCATATCCGGTTCACTTTGGGAACCGAAGTAAGCTTTAAAAAACTGGAGTAAGACTGTCTGTGGGTCTTCAGAGTGACCTTGTTTGATGGACATAGCCAATTTTAGGCCAACTGCTTTAGCAGTGCCCACAAATTATTCCTCTAATGCAGACTGGTGAAGTCCTTTCTGATTTCATCCTGCTGGGGGTCAATAAACTCCCCCACAGTACAGTCAGAGGTGATTTTAATCAGGAAGATCTTATACTGCACTGCAGTTCCAGGGTGCCTGTCCAAGTGACAGCGAAGGTCACGGAGATAAGCACATACTTTATGTTGTAATGATTTAGATTACGTGTTATTCAATAAGCCATAAGGCATAGGATTCCATAGGAAATATGAAATCCACCTTATGGATTTGTGAGGTTATTTAAACCAGAAGATTGGATCTTTTTAATGCAGGGATTAGATAACAGCTTCGTATTCACTCAGAGACAACAGAAGAGAGAGAGTCAAGTTTAAAAGTTAAGAATTTTATTACTAACAAATTAAACTAGACTGACTTTAAACACTACATGTATGGTGTAACTATGGTGGATGAGACGGGGGATGGATGACATGTGATGTTAATCAGAACCAGCAAATCCGAAGAAGCGATTGGTTCTGACGGGAACTGAAGGTGATGTCTTCACATTAAGCTTTGGTTAGGAGGTCCATAAACACATGAGACACCATTATGTCGGTCTTCCTACCCTTCAGGAAGTCCTCTGTAGATCAGGAATATCGAGGTCCAGCTTAACCCTCTTTGGAACCGAGCCGGTAGAAAAAGCCGCGGGTCCGATCAGACCAGTCTTTGTTACTTCCGGGTACACGACTGTTCGCTGGTGTCTGGTGAGACCCAAGCCTGGGTCTTGATGGTTCAGCTTTTGTTCTGAAAGGAACCGTTGCCGTAGTTGGTACAGCAACGAATGTTTCTTTTCAGCTTGTCGTTGTTCTTTCGGTTGAAGAGTTTAGATCAGGATTGGCCACTCCGTCACTTTCTCAGGAACGCTTTGAGCTGGCGTTAGAGATGACGTGGCATAGTTTTATACCTCGGATGTTTTGGTTTATGGTCGAATGAAAATTTACCAAACACCATCAAAACCACGCCTCCGTCAGATCTGTCAGATTCTGATTGGATCAGTGAAAGTAATGTGTCATGTCTTTTAACGCTACGTGAAATAAGTCCTGTTGGAACACTTAAAGTCATAGTACCTTTACAGTATATTCTAGGATTATAATAAAGTACTTAATATTTTGATTTCACAGATCGGTCACATCTTATTCATTGACTAACACTTGGTTGGATTAGTTTTATTAAAATACAGTTCTTTGATTAATTAAAAGAAAAGAGTTCATTCTTTGTTCTTCTGTTGAGCTGAAAATAAGCAGGTTAGAAGGAATGCATGAGACCTTGAGACCATATCTCATGCAGACTAGTCCTGTGTCAGAGGAGGGAAAAAACAGTCATTTCATTTTGTTCCTATGTGAAATCTCCTCTTGTCCAGGAGTTGTGGACCACGCCACGTCCTTGATAAAGCCAGATACAGAGCTTGGTTCAGCTAAGACTTGGATGGCTGAGTCGGCATACTGACCTAAAATCATCAGCAATAGACGTGTTTCAGCTGGAGCAAGAAAAAGTTAGGATAAGGAAAAGAAAGAAGGAATCATAACTCAGATGATTGTTAAGCATAAAGGTCCTCAAAGATGGTAATTCCTAGCCTGGTGAGCTAGACCAAACTCTTGCTTTGCAAAGTTTGGTCTAGTAATGCTCCACTGGAACCTCCACGGCCCCCTAGTAGCGGGCCAATCACAGCTCTCTGTCAGGCTTCAAAGCTGATAGAGCGCTGTGATTAGTCCACAAAAACATCACTACATTTGAAATTGAGTCAGCCATTGCTAATGGCTTAGCAGTAGCCTGTGATGTTACCCACAGCCAAAGAATAAACAGTATGAAGCCAAGGAGAATAAAGAATAACAACATACTTCTTTAGCTTAAACAAATGGTTAGCTTCAGAATAACTACCACCAAGCCATGGAGAAAACAGAGTACCTTTGATGCCCTCTGGCTGACGTAAACGACAGCCTTAGACAGACAAACAGCCTTGGAGAAAGACAGACTAGCTCTGAATTCCCCATTTTGCCTGGAGAAGCTCTTCCAGTTGTCTGCGTGTTCATTTGCTGCAGCTGGTGCAGCAGCACAGCATGCATCTCTCCATAGTGCTGAACAGGGCAGACTGGAAAAGGAGGAAGCCCGTCTGGAAGGAGCTAACCACAGTGCTGGACACGGAGCGAGTGCATCCGGCAGGTGCTATCCATGGTGCTGAACTGCGAACAGCCTGTGATCAAAACATCAATCTCATTGTCGCAAGGATCTTTGTCCGGTCCGATCTACCAGAGTGCCTCCCTGTGTTTCATCAGAAATTTTAAAGCCATTTTCTAAATCATGGATCTGTTGTGCTGGTCTCTGTGGAGAAGGGTAGAACCTGGCTTCCTACTCTAAGCACTCACAGCTGAAAAGCTGAAAACCCTCACTGGAATGAATACAGACACTCTGCCCTCCCCCCTACCCTATCCTGTTCAGCCCGCCAGTGATCTGGGTGGCAGGTCATGGATCTGCCAAGGACCCATTATCACTAAAGGAGGCAGAGGAGCAACTAAACATCTGACACAGAGAGCAAGAGATAGGAGACGGAGAAGCAGACACAGAAGTAGCCATAGCCGTGCTGAGGCTAAGCTAACTGGATGAGCAACTCGTTCAACACCAAATAAACTGCGTGCGAACTCAAATGGTTCCCTAAAAGCTAGGTGGAACAACAGAAAATGTGTGTTTTAGCGTGCTTTTGTGCTACAATGACTCAGAGATGTCCCAGGACAGAGAAATCTAATCACCTTTAGCGAGCCACAAACGCCAAACAGCTACACGGAGTGCAGGAAGTGACGATCACCAGATGGTGTGATGTTGAAGGTTCTCAGTGTGTACTTCCCATAGTCTGGACACCAGTTCAACGAGAGAAGGTCTGGTGGCGGGTTGATGTGGGTGCAGCTGATTTGTGATGGTGAAGAGTGTGTGTGTGTGTGTGTGTGCGTGCGTGCGTGCGTGTGTGTGAGTGTGTGTGTGTGTGTGTGAAGGGTTTTAGAGGAGTTCAGACATGGTGAAGGATGTGAGGGTGGTGTAGGACTCACAGGGCCAATGAGATGGTGGTGGGGTTAGGGTTAGGAGTGCCTGAGAGGTGGAGATGTGCTCTGAGGAGCTGATTGGTGCATCAGTACAAACATGTTTCAGGAACACAGAGCACCCCGGCCTGACATGGTCTGCATTGGGTGGAATAGGATGCAAGGTCTGGGTTTTTGTGTGTTTGACCTGTAGAATAAAGCAACCGATGGATCATGTGTTGTTCTACATGTCCGATGCTAAAAGTCGTATTTGTGTCCTCCGACAGTCAGAAGACAACGCAAACTCCACTGATCCAGACAATCTGCAGTCTTTCACAGACAAGAGGGACTTTTTCCAGAAGATAGGTGAGCTCAGCTTGTGTGAATCAAGTTTATGTTAAACCCTGTAACTCTTTTATCCTCCACCTTCTTCCAGGTGCTCCACCTCAACGTAAATCCACAACCCCAAAGCCACAGCCACGCCCCTCTAGTCCACCCAAACACAAGCAGCAAGCACCTCCATCACCAAGCCCGTCACCTCCACCTGTAGCACCCAAGCCCAATGGTGAGAAGAGAACACACAATGGCAGTCTTTCATCTTTTGTTTAAAAACGTTATTTTATTCAAACGAACATCAAAGGGACATCATGGAAGTGTGACAGCCAAAACATGTATAGAAATAATAAATGTCTTCTTCATACGTTCTCCTGCAATGCCCTGGTCCTGTAGAATGAGCCCTGGCATTTTTACTGTGATTGCCTGTTTTTCTGTAAAATCACAGAAAAAGAGAGATGCTCGGGTCGAGCAGGCTGCTTCATGCGCGTTCACGCTCAGGCATCGCCCGTAGCATTTGCTATCCGTAGCTTTAGCAGCAGAGAGAGAGGCAGTGCCACTTTGTCGCTGTTCCTAACGCCTAGTGACAAAGCTAGCTACATTTCTGAGGACCCTTAGCTACTTTCTGTAGAACTTTCTTCTAGATATTTCCTGCTAATTAGCAACAAAATAGCCATTTTCACTCCGAACCGTTCTTTGTACGTTGTTTTGACGGTAATTAAGGACAAAAACATTACAGATACCACAAATGTCAGTGGTGGTTTAGCTCATCTAGTTAGATGTCAGACTCTCGTGTGGAAGACCTGGGTTTGATTCTGGATGTGAACATAGTTTATTTAGAGTTTATTTTTTACATTAATGGTATATTTTTTACAGTAGGATGCCCACATTTTTATTTGAGACTCGCCGAACGGCATTGAATTCACAGATAAAAAAGATGTGGGTTCAACTTTCATTTTGGAACAATTTTTCGAGCAAGGGAAGGGAATGATCTGAGCATGCAGGAGGACCATCAACATATACATATTGTCAGGTTTTTAGCGGCTGAGCTGAAGCGTAGCGGAGGTTGTTTGTGGTGTAACTGTGTGACCCAGACGCGGAGTGGCTAGCGTTGGGTTAGACAGAGCACGCAGCTTTATTCTAGGAACGGCGACGCGGTGCTCGGAGAGAGCCGAGACTGAGCAGCAGTTCCGGATGGATAAGGAAGCTGACTTACTAGCAGTAGACAGTGTGGGAAGATCCTTCCCCTGGGTTGAGGGCTAGTAAGCCTGAGAACTCGATTCAATGTCTGGCAGGAACGATGACTGAGTGATGAATGAGCGGCGGTGCTTCCGTAAATAGTGTCGGCGTGATGACGTCGGCAAGCCACGTTGGTGGCGGGAATGCTGGTAAGTGTAGTTAGCAGGAGGAGTTCGTGACACATATAGAGGAGGACTGACCCATCATACACCTTTGTCGGCTGTGCTGAAGAGAAAGCTACAGAACCAAATTATTTAATTAATTAGCTGCACGGTCTCCTGTCCACTGTCCTCCGGGCCCCACACACACACACACACACACACACACACACACACACACCTGTTGATCATGTGCTTAATTTAACATCAGTAATATTCCTGAGGCTCCACACCTCCGGTGCTCTGGACCTTCTCAGGCCTTCTGCAGCCGTGTTGTGAGCTGTCTCATGGCTCCATCTGCACAAACACAAAGAGAGGGGAAACATCAGCACAGCCTGTGGTCGTTTTCCTACGTCAACATTAAATCTGGAACAAGTTAAAATAGTTGATAACTATTGCATCAGCGTTAATCAGTCACAGGGGACATGCTAGCGTTAGCATAGCGATCGATTTTAGCTAACGCCGATGCTAAAACAGCGGACTGGGATGATTTTACCTCACAAAGCTTCACAGAAATAATATGAACCGACTTGAACACACTGTTAAAAGTCCTTTAAATAAAAAATAAGGAACATTCTGGATCTGTTTCCTCGCTTTCTTTATTCTTTTTTACGTATCAAAAGTGTCGGATCGGGACTCGGTATCGGCAGATTGTCAGAACTGAACGACTCGGAGGCTAAAACACCTGAGCGGTACATCCCTGCTTTTATCATTTCTCACCTAGATTATGGGAACTTATTAGTTGGGGCTCCTGCTTCGGCCCTGAACCTGGATTGTGCAGAACGCAGCTGCATGATTTCTGACAAATACAGGCAGACGTAGCATCTCCATCGGCTACCTGTGGCTTTCAGGTTAAATTTAGGATCTGCTTTTGTGTATAAAGCTTCGAACGGTCTGGCGCCATCATATTTGTCGGTTTTGTTTGTATTTTCATGTGTGTTTTATGTTGGGAGGTGCTCACATGCTGTTGATAAATGCTGTAAATAAATCGGTGTGGTATGGGACCAATAAAGGGTTGAAAACGTAATATTTACTGCTGAAACCGTGCTCTTGGAAAAGGTGGCCGGGCTGAGCTGCTCTGAGTAGTGCCGTTGGAAAACCAGCTGTACTCACTGCTGCACTGGTGGAGTCCACTAGGGGGCACAGTAGAGAACCAAGACTCTTTCGTTGTCGGGTACAACCAAACAAACAAACATGGCATCAACGGAAGAGAACTGATTACTTTGAGATCACGGCAGAAAAAAAGACATCAGCTGTATCTAACCCTCTAAACCAGAGAAGGTGTTTACCACGGTGAATGTGTCTGGCTTGTGTTGTCAACTCCCCCTGCTGGTTACTTGTATATTGCAGCGTACAAACGCATCGCTTAATGAAATCATTAATTTGGAGAAGGCACACGAACGACACTTCAACACAAGTTGCTTGTATGTGTCACTAAACAGCAAGTATGCAACTAGGAGAAGGTGAGCGTAGATGATCTCCTTTCAGGGGAGGCGGGTTCATGGGGAGGGGCAGGGCGTGATTGGTTTCTGTCCTCGAGTCTGCAGGTCCTTACGAATGCAGACTGAAATGGGTTTGGGGATATTTCTCATGAGGACATAACAATGTCACATGGTAAAAAGCTCCAATACGTGGATTTTTCATATGGCTCCATTGACTCAAATCCGTTTTTACTGGCCCCTAATTGGCTGTTATGAGGCGAGAAGCTCAGATATCTAGGAGGGGCTCAGCATAGAGCTGCTGCTCTTCTAGTGTTCCCTATTGTGGCTTCACAATAAGGAACACTTTCTATCGGCTCACAGAAACAACTGAATCCTGAAGCCAGAAATAGGTGGATGGTTTTTATTCAGGTGAGCCTCATGGTGGCACAGGAGGATGGGAGAGGTTAGTTAAGCACATCATCAACCACCCCTTTCAGCACGCAACAGAAGGCAGCTACATTTAAGGATACAGCAGATACGTTCGAGGTCCTTTTTTCAACATCCATGTATGACTGGAGTTCTGTAACTTTCTCTGGTAAACTCTTTTCTGGAACATAAAATCAACAATCACTGATGACTTCAACAAATGGAAGCTAATTAACAACAAACTATTGAATTTAGATGAATCGGCTCCATGAAGGAAGAGCTGCTCTGGGACCCTGGAGATCACAACAGGAAGTCAGGTTTTTCACTTGCCAGGTGCACCTGGCTACAGGAGTGAGGTACATGATCGCTGGGGCAGCTGGTGGAACTGCTGCAAGTTTGAATACCGGCAGTGGCCTTTCTGCCCGGAGTTAGCATGTGATGCCCATGCATGTGTGGTTTCCCCCAAGTACTCTGGTTAGCTGGTCACCAGACAGCTCCGAAAGCAGGGGTCACCATCTCCGGCCCTCGAGGGCTGCCTTCCTGGACACGTTAGCGGTTCTGTGCTCCTACACACCTGGTTGAAATGAAGGAGTAATTCACGGGCCTGTGCAGAGTTAAGGAGAGGATTACACGACTCCATTCAGGTGTGATAGAGCAGGAAACCGAAACCTAGCAGGATGTAGCCCTCGAGGACTGGAGTTGGTGACGCCTGAGCCTTTGCTAGGTTTACGTTTCTCAGCTGTTGAGGACATTCTAAGCAGGTGTTTCCGAGACCCTCTTACCTGTCTCCAAGACAAGTATGAATGTAATCTTGGTAAGCTCACATCGTCAGCACAGACTAAAATGTAGGGGCCTCCTTGGGGGGGCCCGGATCCCAGTTTGGGAACCACCGTGAACTGGACTTTAGTATGTAACAGAGCTCCAGCGTTACCTTGTTGACTTTTTAGTGTCATCACAAGGATTTTGCTCCTCCTCGCAAAAATAAATTGTCTGATTTGTGGAACCACGTTGTTCTTGGTCTTGTTTCTCACAGTCAAGTGTTCCCGCACCTCTGCAGCTGAAGAAGAGCCTGCAGCAGCTGATGCCACCAAGACCCGGCCTGAACCCACCTCCAACATCAGAGAAATCATCAAACAGTACAACAGTCGTCCTCAGCCAGAACCCACAGCCTTCCAGCCTCTGAAGTTAGTGTCTACATCACACCCTGTCCCTGAGGGCATTGGCATGAGCTTGTCTGCCTTAGTCTCAAATAAAGTTGAACTATAAACTTAAAGGTGCAGTCTACTTCTTAGATGAAGCCCATCTCACCTTTTCTACCCTCAGTGGGCAGTTTCAAGGATGAGTCATGATCCAACCTTGAGCAACGGAACGTTCATAATGACTGGATGAAGTTTCTCCAGGATTGTATGTTTTGGAGACGTCAAATTTATACATTATTTGACAAAACATTGAATTTAGTGGGTGGCGTCAGTGTGTGAAGAGCATGTTATGCAACGTGACAAGAATGCTCCACCTGCACCTTAAACCAAGAGTACCCAACGCTACTACCGCTCAAAAACAACATGCCCGCTTTTGTTGTGCAGAGCCCCGAGAAAGACCACCATTGTTAAGAAAACTGACCCCAAACAGGAGGCTTTGGCCAAACTGAGAAACAAAGGACCAGCGCCACAGCCGAAGGTCAGAAACACCACTGTTTGTCTTTTTAAGTGTGTTACAGTTTCTCATGTTCTTGTTTTTGTGGCGCGCAGAAACAGTGGGTGCCTCCACCACCTCCCCCTCCCAAGTCCCCCCCATCTTCTCCCCCCTCAACTAGGAGCCGCAGAGTGATCTCTAACAGCATGAGGCAGAGGCAGCGCCCCCTAGAGGAGCTCTTTGGTTCTCAACACTCCAAGCATTACCCCCCTCCTCCACCTGACTCCCCACCACCTCCTCCGGAGCCCCCTCTGAACCTTCACCACATTCCTGACCCTCCACCTATGGCTGCACCTTCTCTCTGTGAGTGCCCCCGAACTTCCAGCCGTCCTCCCTAAACAAACCAATCTCAAAGCAGAGGTTTTCTTGTTACAGGAAACTAAACGATCAGACAATGAATACACAAAGGTAAAAAAAAAGTGTGTTTTAATCCTCATCAGTAAAGACACGCCCGTAATCAATAAACACATGGTAACAGAGCCAGAAGGGCCATTATTGTAGGAACAGTAACAACACTCATCTAACCATCTCAGGCATCATCGCCCAAATACTGATGACCCCACATTCTACCATAACTGACCCCATCAGCCATATTCATAGGGGGCGACCTCAACATGCTCCTTAACCCTGTGAAAAGTTAAAGAATTTCTTCACAGATAAGATCACCTCTCTTAGATTATCTTTCCTCTCTGGTGGACACAGCCTCTTCACAACCATGCTCAACTGCTTTTGACCAGTTTGAGCTGTTGTCTCTCTCTGACCTCTCTGAGGTGGTTCACCAGTCAAGACCTTCCTGCAGCCCACTGGATAGTATCCACCCATCACTTTTTAAAAATGTATTTTCTGCTATTGGGCCCATTATTTTACTTATTATAAACACTTGCTTATCTGCTGGCCTGCTTTAAACGTGCTGTTATTCAGCCGCTCTTAAAGAAACCTAACCTCTAACCCATGGTGCTCTCCAACTACAGGCCTATCTCCAAGCTTCCTTTCCTTTCTAAGGTCATGGAGAAAATTGTCTACAGGCAGCTGCAGGACTACCTCGACCATTGTGGTATTTTAGAGAAGTTTCAATCAGGTTTTAAGCAATACCGCAGTACGGAGACTGCTCTTTTAAGAATATTTAATGATTTATTTTTAACTATCGATTCCGGTCAATCAGCTGTATTGATCCTTTTAGACCTAATGACGGCCTTTGGTACTGTGGACCATCAGATCCTTTTATCCCGCCTAGAGCATGACGTTGGCATCCAGGGCTCAGTGTTGCAGTGGTTTAAATCCTACCTGTCAGACAGGACTTTTACTGTAAATTTGGGGCAGTTGTTTGTCTCCAGCGAATCTTAATTGTGGTGTCCCTCAAGGTTCAGTTTTGGGCCTGCTCTTGTTCTCACTGTATATGTTGCCCCTTGGTGCCATCTTTCGTAATCACGGCATCTCATATCACTTCTTTGCAGACGATGTGCAGATATATGTCCCACTACGTTCTCGCAGGCCATCGTTTGATAAATTACTGAATTGTCTAAAAGGTGTCAAAAACTGGCTACAATTGAACCTTCTTACTTTAAATGACAAAAAGACTGAAATTGTCATCTTTGGGGACCCTGGGCTGTTGCACGGGGTAAACAGTGTATTTGGCCCTTTAGAATCCTTTTGGGTGTCTCAGGCAAGAAATCTGGGTTTTTTATTGACGGCCATTTTAAACTTGACAAACAGATAAGTTCTGTGGTCCAGAGCGTGTTCTTTCATTTGCGTGTTCTTAGTAAAGTCAAGCCCTATTTTCCAATTTTATCTAGGGTCTGCTGGATTATTCTTAGTGTTTTATCATTTTACTTTTTACTGCTTGTACAGCACTTTGTGCAGTCTCTGATTGTTGGAACTATGCTATATAAATAAACTTGACATCGACATTAACCCAACAAACTCACGTCATACCAAAAACTGGCATCCCACCCAAATGATCAAATACACGACGAAACCCCCAACAAGAGAATGCTCTCGTCGCGCCGCTGTTCTTAAATTATTTTCACCAGTCGACTACTTTATCACCAGTAACTGATGACGGACAACGCCGACCCAACAGTTCATCCAATCACTGTATCACACTCCCGTTAATAATAATACATCAAACTTATATCGCGCTTTTTAGGACACTCCAAGACACTTTCATGCACTCACATTCACACACTGCTAGTGATGGTAAGCTACTTTGTAGCCACAGCCGCCCTGGGGAGGTCTGACAGAGGCGAGGCGGCCATTTTGCGCCGTCGGCCCCTCTGACCACCACCAACACAGGCAAGTTGGGTGAAGTGTCTTTCCCAAGGGCACAACAGCAGAATACCCCTGGTGGGAGCTGGAATCATACCCATGACCCTCTGATCATGAGGCAACCCGCTCTACCACCTGAGCTACTGCTGCCCCGTTAGCACAAGGAAACAGAAACCAACCCCAGCCACAGATGGTGCTACAATACATGTCTGCTCCAGGACAACAAATGTGTCTTCTAACACAGGGATTCCCGAAGTGTGGAGCTGCCGCTAGGGGGTGCGCGAGCTGCCGCTAGGGGGTGCGCGAGGTGAAAAGTGTGATGGCTGCGGAGCTCAGAGAAGTCTGTCATATGTCACCATTAGTGTAGCCAGAAACTCATTTGTGGGTGGGCCTAAGAAAAAGTAAGTGGGCCCAATAAACGTAATTGAAAACAAGTATAGTTTGCTTGTGTGTGTGTGTGTGTGTGTGTGTGTGTGTGTGTGTGTGTGTGTGTGTGTGTGTGTGTGTGTGTGTGTGTGTGTGTCCTCCACATGTGCCCTAGCTTCATAATAACAATGCGCCGAGCTTCAGCGCTCTGGCCTGCGCACGCCGATATGTTCCGTATTTGATCATTTTTAACGGTGTTGGAGGAATCTGAAGGTGGCGAGTCATTCTGGCAGATTGTAATTAACACCTGTCTCATGCAGGTGTTCTGACGTTGTAAACCTCACACACAGATCATTGTGGATGTAACTAAATAACAAGAAATGATTCCCATTCAGGCTATTAACAGCGCGCTGAAGATCCGAAGTTTAGAGTGCGTCTGTCAGAGGTCAGACGTGTTCCGGCTGAACCACGGCTCACGGGTGCACAAGTGAGCACATCTGGGCTGGGCAGAAGTCATTTTACAACATTGGTTTAAATAGCGCCGATAACGAGACGCGGTGACTGGAGCGGCTCGTGGAGCTGTGCCGCGCGCGCACACACACACACACACACACACACACACACACACACACACACACACACACACACACACACACACACACACAGTTTCAATAAGCACACGCGCCGCGCCGTCAGACTGAAGGCAGAAATGAGCGCTGTCTCCTCCGTGATAAAAACTTTTAAGAGGTTTTATAACATTTTTCATTCCAGGTCAAATGAAGATATTAGCTTCTATTTTGGGATGACGTATTAAAGTCGGGTCCGCTCCAGCCAGTGGAGCCAGTCATGAACCTGACCACAACTCATGTTACTGCAGCATTTGTTATTCCAGTCCGCGTGGCAGCGGATCGCAGATTCAGCCACACCATAAACAGCAATGAGTTGGTCTGAGGTAAAAGTGAACCTCATGGCTCTATCTTGTCCCCTATAGACATGTGATTACGCACAAGTAGGTGATCAGTTCAGGTTTACCAGAGCAGAAGGAAGGAGAGCGCTCTGGTTAAACATTCCTACTTTAAGAAAACCGTTAAATTGCATTGTTTATGTGCTACCTGGGCACTCTAAATATTTATTTAAATTAAAGATTAAATCAAAGGAAATCGTAATGGTATCGAATGTTTATTAATTACTATTTAAAAAATGAAAGTGATGGGGAAAAGGTCGATCATATTTTTTTAACCCTGTCTGTCGAGTGACTGTTTAGCTTGACGTCTGATATATACCTGGGCGTCAGATTCAGATAACAAGACTTTGTTTGGGTCAGGCTGAGATAATTTTCCTCTCTGCCTTCAGTCTTTAAACTGATCATTCCAGTCCTTCAGTGAAGCCAATTTTGGGTTTTGAACTTGTCCATACCGTCCGGTGACTCTCCGAGATGACATCCATTTTGCGCACTAATACCGGTATCGCAGCTAGAACGTTGTCCAGCTTACGATTCACCTCGTGTAACGTCCCAGTCTGAGAAGTCTCCACACGGACGGTGCTTTCCGTGGGTGTGGGTCGCCCTCCAATCACTCCCGTCTTCCCAAATTTCCAGAAGACCTCCCACTCCAATCAGGACAAATCCAGTGATCATTAGACCAAATATCCACACGTCTTCGATGTCCTCAATGGACAGCTGGGAGAGGCATATGGTCTTCCACTCCTTCCAGGAATCCAACATATATCCCACCAGGTGTGTCCCCTGTGGACATGTGGGAGCCCCCTGCTCCGTTCTCATCTCAACATAGAAAACTATGGAAACAAGGTCATGAACTCAACTCTGGGAAACGGCTACAGCACTTCTGAGAGGTAAACAAGTTCAAACTCCTCATCCAAAAGGAAAAAGAACAACATTTGGAAACTTGGAAGGAAATATAAAGTAATTACACCCTCGTATGCAACTAATCTGACCGAATGAACAACGGAAGAAATGTGAAAAACCAAAAATCAGATAGAATCGTCAACAAAAAGATGCCATTCATGCTACAAACCCTACATCATAACCTCCATGAACACAATGATGAATCTGGCTTAGCAATAGCTACAACTCTGGCAGCATGGTGGAAGGTAATAAAATACAAACGCCTCATTTTCACCCACAAATCAAACTCCCAAATGGAATAACACAGACTTCACTGCAAATAACCTACTGTTGAATCATGTGTTTGCAGTCCAATTTGAAGTTGTAGAGTATTTATGTTTCTGTTCTCTTTGGTTAATTTGTCATACTTAGGAGGTTGGTTAATCCCTATCTGATGTGACATCCAATGAGATTGCTTCCAGCAGTGTAGAAAAGACGTCACAGAAATGACAATTCGCTCCCTCTTTGTGAATAAACGTCGACATGTCCGTATGATTCCCCATCCTCACAAACCTGATTAAAGCTGGGACACCTGAGAAAGGTGAGCTCTGCTAACGGGTCGTGGGCCCAGGGAGCTTTGTGCACATTTGGTGTGGGCTGACATTCAGGACAAACGCCAGGAGTGGCCAGTGGGTGAGGCTGGTGTTTGATAGAGATGAGAGGACTTCTGATTCACGGGAGACTAAACTCCTGGGTCACCTATGACTAGAAGGTGTGAAAGACACGTTATTGAGCACTGATGATGCTGACTCGATGACAACAATGCCGAAGCTGACGTAGAGTTGATCCAATTCCTGAACTATAACAGTTTGTCTCTTGTAATGAGAGAAGCTGCAGACGATAGACGTTTTAAGATTTTAAGAGACTATAATTCTGGTAAACGTACACTCAGAACCATCAGCCGTTACGCTGAGCTGACCTCTCTTCACTAAGCAACAAGAGCGTGACAGATTATGTCAGCCCTGAGAAATGCTGGGGAGATGCTTACTAGCCATGGTCCTGAAAGGTTTACCGGGGACCTTCAGACGCTGCTCTGTTCTTCTACTGCAGAGTGAAACAGAGATAAAGTTTGCTGATTTTAAGACAAAGCTCAGATGGTTTTAGGACACGAAGAAAATGTCTATGATGAAACAACAATGAAGGGAGACCCACAGCAGCTACTGCCGGTCACAGGAGAGACACAGCGGCAGAAGTAACGTGTTTCAAATTCAACCAGCAAGGCCAGGACGAGTCAGCAAAAGCAGAGGTGCAGTCACTGCAGGAGCAGCACACACCCAGACTCAACCTGCAGGTGGAGGGACCAGGAGTGCACGGCTACCGAAGGCAGCCGCGGCGTACTGAGTGGCAACACGAGCGTGTTCAGGAACAGTAAGGACGGCACGCATTTTAAATTCGGAAAATAAATAAAAGCCAAAGGTGCGATGTTGGACAATGGGGCTACTTCCCACATTGTAGCAGAGGTCACAGCTTTAAGAAATTTGACGAAGATTTCTAGCCATAAGCATAGGAGGTGTAAAGCGGTAGCTGAAGGCAGAGGACACGCTGAGCTGCATACGCATGCATACTGTACATCCTAGGACACCTTTCCTGTGAGAGCGACCACCGTAAATGGAACCACCATCATCCTGAAGATGGGTAGAAACAAATTTCAACGAAGAAGGTATTGAATTCATGAACACCACCGGCTTCATTTAGTGGTTGGATATCAGAGATCTTGGGACAGTATAACAACAATGACCTTTAAAATTTAGAAAATGTGGTTGAAGATCTAAGCAAAGACGGATGCCCAAGGTTTAAGCTGCTAAGTGTGCATCCAGGGGACATAAACACCGTGATAGAAGAGCTGAGCAGCCTCTAGAACTGGTGCACACAGACAGTGCAGGACCAGTAGGTCCAGAGTCCCAGGATGGGCGTACCTGTGTTTTACAGACGAGTACTCAAGTGTGGTTTCCTAACCCTAACCCTAACCCTAAAAACAAGTCTTCTTAGCTTCTCTGGTTAGCTAAGTTAGCTAGTAGCTACACCGGTTCATTTGTTCCAACCGTACCAGCCCCACCCTAAGCTCCACCTCTTTTACCATTTTGGGATTATCTGGGCGTGACGGGACATGTGGCACGGTCAAAATGGCGGTTGGTGGGAACCTCCCATTTCCTGTCTGTTTATAACTCAAACCAACAGGCATCGCTTGTCCCGTATGAATGTCCATCGTAACCCAACGAGCTCATGAACTTCACGCCTAAAGAAAAGAGCCAGCCCTGTGTGTAGAAGGAGGGGGTGTTTAATGTGCCTGCTCAGGTGAGGCCAGTCTCAGTGATCAGCTGCTGTGTTTGTTCTTAGATGTGATGCCAGATGAGGACGATGTTTGGTCTCAGTTACACCGATTCTCTGCCGGGGTCTACTTCTCCTACTGTGCCACGCCTGGAAAACTGTTCCTGCGGAAAGAGGTCAGACATTTGTCTTTTGGTACGCCACTCTGGGTCAGATGAGCCGTGTGCCGGGGTGTGTGTGTGTGTGTGTGTGTGTGTGTGTGGGGGGGGGGGGGGGGGGTAACCAAAGAAAACTTGTCTGTGTAAAAAAACCACTGATGTTTTTGGGACCTTGAGTTGTTTTTTGGTGGCAGTAATCCACTTTACTAAACTAGTCTGTCTAGCTGTTAGCATGTTAATCCAGTCATGGGTCCGATTTCCTTTAACATCCATCTGACTAGGAGTTTTATGTTGGGATGTATAAAATGCACTGAAGTAATTCCCTACAGCTGATGTGGGGGTTGGCATGAGCCTGAGAGACGGATCAGGTGCTCCATGTCCGTTCAGTGAGGGTGAGGTTAGTCATCGCTCATACGTGCTCTCACTTTTATGTTGATAGAAAACAAACGCTTAAAACTCTTGCATCACATAACTGAAAGGCTCGTGCCAGAGGACGAGTCCACGGCAGAAACTCACTCTTAGTCTTCAAGAGGCCTGTTATCGTTTATATTTAATGAATGACTTTATTTAATGTTCTCATTCATCACGGCTGAGTTCTGCTGCAGCTCGGGTCCAGAGAGGAGAGAACAGCACATAAAAGTTTACACTGAGAGTTTGATACTTTGATGTTTCAGGTGTTTTTCCCCAAAGAGATGTTCGACCAGCCCTACATCCTCAGTCTGTTGTGTGAACAGGTCAGTGGGACCACTCTGGGCTGCTCACCTGTTTTTCTCTTTAGTCGATGCTGATCCGCACGCTTCTTCATCCACTCAGATCCTGAGAGACACCTACGCTGACAGCTGTGTTAGGATCAGCAGGGAGGAGAGGAGGAAGATGAAGGACCTGCTTGGTGAGAGTCACGATGACTCTGCTAAAATAAAGGATGCTCACCTGTATTAGTCATCCAGGTGTTCAGTTCACACTTCTATCTGCAGCAAACTTCAGCGTGGGAACAAGTGCCGGCAGCATCCAGGACGATAACATCAAGAGGAGGATCGTCGTCGCTGCGCGGGACAACTGGGAGAGCTACTTTGCTCGACTCTTCCCTGTGACGGTGAGCAGAATGGACTTTATTAAATTCAGACTGGTCTCTTCTTCTCAGGAAGCTCATCTCAGACCTCCAGAGAGGGTTAGAGCATCGTCTAGTTCAGCTGTGACCCACATCTTCAGGCCTGAGAAATAAAATACTAACATCTGCACGTTTCCTTTGTTTCTGAAACGAATAATAGTAATAACTGTTGTTATTAAGCCATGCATGGCCGGTAGGTGGCACCGCTGAGAACTCACATAGCCCTAAACCTAACGCCTCTCCTGTTCGGGTGCAGCCACACAGAGGAGATGCCCAGCTTCTGGGAATCTCTCATCGAGGAATTCGTCTCCTGAAGGTGGTGAGAGCATCAGGTATCAACCCAAAACATCTCAGACTGCTCAAAGGCTACAGGTAGGACCAAGCAGCTGCTGTCAGCCACAGCAGGTCCAGAGGGTTCCTTTAGCTGCCTCTCTTCGGTCCGTCTCATCTGTTCTTATACTTTTTACACAGCTTTGCAGAGGTGTTGTCGGTTCAACTCCAGGCTGATGACAAAGTGCAGCTGGAGCTGACGAGTGAAAACTTTGTGCTACAGTCATCCAGAGCTCCTCAGATCACTGCCATGATTCAGTCGTTCCTCCAGGAGCTCATCAAGGTGCTTCCTTCTCTCCAGGCATTTTCTTATTTCCTTTTGCTGTCCTGGTTTAACAAACCCAGACTGCTGAGTCAGCACCGCTAGCTTCCTCTGGACAGGATCAAGTGATGGTTTGATTACGTCTTAAAAAGTGCGGCTCACACAAAACAAGTTTGGTAAAAACAGAGAAGATCTGAGCAGCTGGTGAGGAGCAGGAGACCTCTAGAGAACGTTTCTGGTTTTAAGTCAGTTCAGTTTATTTCTACAGCAAGGACCTTCTCACAGTAAACAGGTCAGGTCATTAAGCCAGTCAGTAAAAGGTTTCCTACATGAGGAACCCAGCAGGTCGCATCGAGTCACTGACTAGTGTCAGAGTCTTTACAGCAATCCTCATACTGAGCAAGCATGCAGCGACTGTGGAGAGGAAAACTCCCTTTTAACAGGAAGAAACCTCCAGAAAATCCTGGCTCAGTAGAAGCAGCCATCCTCCATGACTCTCTCACACACACACTCGCACGCACACACACACACACACACACACACACGCACACACACGTCATTCTGGAAAGCAGGATAAATGAAGGTAGTTTTGAATTCTCCTCAGGTGTGAGTGGTTATCCGTTCACATTTCTAGGAGGTTTCTTTAAAACGTTGTCAACAGAACATAAAGGTATTCAATAAAATGTAATACTCCATAAAAATATGGATTATCAGCATTATTGAACCTTTAATATTCGATTGCTGGTGATTCTCGGTGTTTTTGGGTACGACAGAAAAACACTTTATATTTATTCAATACAGACACAAAATAGTTTATAAAAATCTATCATGACTATATTTCTACTGGGAATGAGAGAGAGATGCAGGACCAGTGGTTATAATGGTGATGTGAGGGACTTTAACTGAGGCAGTGAATAAACTCTGATGAAACGTGATCTTAGACGTCGAATTAAGTGTGTTAGAAAAATGTCATGACTGGGTTTATGAATGTTTCATTAGTTTGAATTAGTTATTAATCTGAACACATCCAACACCAGCGCAGAGCTACGGTTTCCTTGTGCTGGGGTTCTAGTCGACTCGACACGGACGTCCAGTGGAATTAGACTTCTGTTTCCGTACGGTCGTACGGATCAGCTCGTCAAAGATAGCCCTGGGTCTGCTGGCGCGTCGTTCCACGTCTGATGAGTTGCTCTGCAGATGAACTGAGTAATTTGATTCTGGAAAAGGGAGGTTCTCACAGCTTCAAAGATCTGGTAACCCTAACCATAACCTTGAATAAACCCACTGCAGCTCCAGCTCCGTGTCTATTGTTTCAACACATTCTCACAGCCGAAGCATCGAAAAGCCGCCATGGGTGACCAAACGTTTGTTTTTGACGTGCTGGCACTGTGCCAGAGTGTCATTTTCCGACGCCCGCGGTAAAACGCACATTTCACTAACATTTGACCCCTAACCTCTTGCTATTTAACCTTCCCCTCACCCAAATCCTCATTGCTGTAAAGCAGTCAAGACTTCTTAAATCACTTTAGACAAAACCTTCATTACATAATGTCATTATTCTTATTAACGTTAGAAAGAGTCGTGTCTTTATTGGAGCCTTGTGTCTTCCCACAGATAAGGAAGTCCAGAGATGGGAATGTTTTGACTGACAGATGGCGAGGCTAGAGGTGGTAAACAGGATATGAGTTATGGCATTAAAAGCACAGAGTATTCTGGGTAGATGAAGCCGGCTGGACAGATCATTGTCTGGTGACCTCTGATATTGAGGCCTTTGCTTTTCTACAACACCCTGGTGGTGATGAACTACACTGTAGCCACAGCTACCCTGGGGCTCACTGACAGAAGCAAGGCTGGCACTACTGGTCCCTCCAACCAGCAGATTGGGGAGAGAGTGTCTTGACTCAAATGGAGCCAGGTTAGAACCAGCAACCCATTAGTTACAGGGCGAACCTCTAACCCCTGATCCACTGTAGTCTTTAGTAGCGTGTTAGGCCCTGTGCATTTGCATAGTCTGCAAAAAGTAAGAAACTGCCCTGAGGTGGTCCAGAACTCTGCAGCGAGGCTCCTAACTGGAGCAATCAGAAGAGCTCACATCACTCCTATTCTGACGTCTCTGCACTGGTTACCCGTTAACTTTAGAGCTCCTCCCTATATTACTGAACGGTTAAAGCCTTATGCTCCAACCCGAGCCCTCAGGTCCACCCACCAAAACCTTCTAGAAGTTCCACAGACCAGATATAAAAGTCCTGGGGCCTCATTTATTAACCGTACTTATGCACATATCTGTGCGTGTATCGTGTGTAGGAACTAACTTACACATCACATATACACATATCACATACACATAACCTGTGCGTGGAAACGTTCCTAAACATAAGAAAATTCCAGACCATGAGTAGGAACAGCATCTAGTGGTAGAACAGGGGAACCACCACACCGAAGGTCTCAGTCATCCACACATGTTCCTCATCCACTCATCATTTTACCCACTAAATAAATATTTAGGTGGAAAAACAGCTGAGTCACATGATT